TTTCATCAATGGATTTAACTTTAAAAAGGAGTTCACTCCATGATAGAAAAACTTGCTGAAAATATGATCTCAAAGATTTAGTTTATGCATCATTCACTATGCAATATGGATATAGAAATAAGTACTGTGCTAGTGATTAGTATATACAATGTTGTCAATTTTGGAATCAACTGTAAATATTGCTCCAAATATGTATTATTGTAGCTCTATGATTTATTAATCATATTTTTTCAGTCCAAAGAACGCAGTAGAGAACATGTTTTCTTGATGCTATGGATTGCCTTTCAAGAAGTCAACGTGGTTTATTAGAAAATGGTATTGAGCAAGCCAAAAAAATGCTTACAGTTATATTTAGGCAGACACAAACTACTCTTGAAACACATCAAGTTATGTCTGCTGGTCCTTTTCTTTACTTAATCCTGGATGAGGTAAGGAGTTTGCAACATGTTCCCATTATTTCAAAATATAATCACCTTTATACTTTAATATAAAAATATTACAGGAAAGTCCTTATTTTTCGAATCCTTATGGTCTTATAATGTTAGCACAATTTGCATTGCGAGGGCATGTAGCTGTTTCAAGAAGTAGGAGGGCAAATGCACTTCCATTAATAGCTTGTGCTCCTTTGCAATTACATGATACTGCAATGGGACAGAGGACTGATAATGAACTAAAGGTAGCAAAATTTAAAACATATTTAATTTAGAAAAAGCATTTTTAGTTATCACACAATAATTTTAGGCAATGTCTTCTCAAGAAATGGAACTTTACGGAATGTGTTTAATGGTGGGATTGCCACCTGTATGTGAAGATTCCCCTAAAAAGTTAGTATAATTATGTCATATCACTCAAACAGTCTTTAAATATGTATTTTCGAAATTTCAGTTTCTTTGGAAAGGCATTTGAACAAGCAGCTCACAAATCACAAATATTAGCATTCTCAGACTTTTTTGATACTTCAATAGTTAAAATTAAATACTCTGACCGAACTAAATTTCTAGATGCTTTAACAGCTCTTCTCAGTTAATATTAATAGTTTAAATATTACTAATAAAATTGTACATTGTTTTATCAATTATGTAAGTTATGGACATTTTATTATTGCAGTGCAAAAACCATTGAAATCGTTAAGAATCACTAAGTGCTTTAATTATGTAGCTAATCGTAGGTATTTATTTATAAAATTATGTTAATTAATGTAAAAATGTGTGAAATATATTTTATATAAAAAAGATCTTCACATTGTTTATTTATATATTTAATTTGAAAGCAAATTCAGTTAGTCATTTAAAATAATCAACCCTTCAATAATAAATTAATTCGATAAAAAAAACTTTTTTCCATCTTTGAAACTGAGAATCTATGTACATCAAAATTTTCATTTATTTTTAATTTTAGATTCAGTTATATTAAGCAAAAAAACTTGTCAATCACCGTAAAAAATTCTAAGCAGTCATGCCCCAAAAACAAATGATATAACCAAAATAATTTGGCTACTCTTTTAACATTACACATTAAAAAAAATTTCAATGTTTAAGTATCTGTGTATTATATCGAAATATAATAAAGTACTTGAACATAGTTTACAGTTTTACTTTAGTATTTTAATTAATAAAAAATTCTAAAAACAACTTGCATGACATAAAAATGAGTAATTTAACGCCCATGGCAGCTCTGAACGAGCTAATGATGCAAAAGAAAGCACCTGTGCCCCTTTACGAACTTATTGAAGATGGAATACCGTTGCCAGGATATAAGTATTTCGTAAAAGCTGCCAATATAATAGCAGTAGGAACTGGGCGAAATAAAAAGGAAGCCAAGCATAATGGAGCAGCTATCGTCCTCAAGCTGCTTGCTTTGAAAGGTGTCGAACACAGGTAAAGTACAATTGAAACAAATTTTATTTGACATCTTGGATAATGTCATTTTGATTTCTGTGCAGACAACGCGGCGGGGATTTAGAAGGTCGTAACATTCGTAAGCTAGAAAGCAGCGTTGGGGCCCTGACGGCTTATCTTCGGCTGCACGACATTCCGCAAGCCACGTACGACATAAGCGTTAGTGGGCCTGCTCACGACCCCATTTTTACCGTAAGGTGTAGCGCTTTTAAGTATCATAGCGTAGCCTTCAGCGCACAGAAAAAACGAGCAAAGCAGCAGGCCTCTGCAGATCTATTAGAGGTAACAATAATTTGATCACAATTTGAATTTGGGTTTCATAGCGGGGCTATTGGTCAGGACTTTGTCATTTTAACGAGAAAGATTTGAACAGTAGTGACTTTAGTTTTCAATTGAAAATTCAGGTAGCAATATGTTCAGGTAGCAAGAGAAAATATACTTTAAGCAGCATTCAAAAAAGTAATCTGTGTCAGTGAAATTCTAATGATAAAATGCATCAAATAGAGATACGCCAAAATTTGGGTTGCTTTCTGCAAAAGCCGCTAAAGCCTTAAGTTCTGATCAGTTGTTTAAATAAAAATATAAAAAAGAATGATATATAGCATTTCAATTACCTATAAATTTATTTTTTCAGGTGTTGTCCTCGGTGCTTCCAGACACAACAACACCAACAATAGGGCAGCTTAAAGGTTCGACCAGAAATGCCGTACGACGTCGGAACAAATACAATACTTATTATAATACTCATCATTTTTAAAATATATTGACTTTCAACTTATAAACGAAACTTCGAAATGAAACATATTTAATACTCAATGACTAAAACCAGTCAATGAGTGAAACCCTCGCACATGTAAATACCATTTTTATCATAGTAATGCTTTGTATGAAAGTGTTTTAATAACTTATTATTGGATGATTATTATTTTTAAATTTTTGATTGTTAATTTTTGTTTGAAAATTGGCAATAAATCTATGCCATGTTGTGAACCAAAGCAATCTTGTTTCAATGATGTGAATGAGACGCGGTTAGGTTCTACAAAGTAGTAAATTTATTTATAACATTAATCTAGGTTTTAAGAATACGCACTAAAGTTAAATTATTTAAAAAATTGTAGAGGTTCGTAGTACATAATTGCTCTGCAAATGGCACTGCTTGGATTACCCAAATCTATAAGTGAAAAATTTAATTCGTTTAGAATAGAGATTAAGTTCATATAAAACGTATATACTTAAATGAATCTGTCAATCTAATTATTCATTACGAAATTATAATTACTTATGAGAATAATATAAGATTTGTTTAATTTTGTTTGTTGTTCACCCACGGCGAAATATTGAAATTCCCACGTTCCCGATACTTAAGTAAAATAAAATTTTAAAAACAAAATAAGTCGATGGATGTGCAATACGTTTAGTTTTGCCCCCTATTTATTTTTTTTGTATGGCACAGTAAAAAAAATATTTGATATTGGATAAGAAAAAGAAAAAAATATCCAAAAACAATAATTAACTTAATAATTTAATTTAATAAATATTTTACCTGTCATCATTGTTTTAGACCTGGTTATAACATCGGGTCTTTTCGCACCTTTGCCTTCAAGCATTCGAGATAAAACATGCCGCAATTGATCAGCCGCCGTTCCGCGTGATGTGATCGCTAAATCCTCTAACATTTCATGTGAATAACCCTGATAAAATATTAATTGTTATACCTGAATATTATTATCAAATACATGTATAAATCAGCACTTAAAACCAAGATAATTATTATTTACTGAGGCGTAGCGTGCCTTTCTACGACTTATTACGCCGTACAATCATGTTCATTGATGATTCTACATAGTACTACGATTTACTACGTCGTACTATGATAGTACTACGACTTACTACGTCGTACTATGATAGTACAATCATGTTCATTGATCATTCTACATAGTACTACGATTTACTACGTCGTACTATGATAGTACTACGACTTACTACGTCGTACTATGATAGTACAATCACTTTCATTGATCATTCTACATAATACTACGACTTACTACGTCGTACTATGATAGTACAATCATGTTCATTGATGATTCTACATAGTACTACGATTTACTACGTCGTACTATGATAGTACTACGACTTACTACGTCGTACTATGATAGTACAATCATGTTCATTGATCATTCTACATAGTACTACGATTTACTACGTCGTACTATGATAGTACTACGACTTACTACGTCGTACTATGATAGTACAATCACTTTCATTGATCATTCTACATAATACTACGACTTACTACGTCGTACTATGATAGTACAATCATGTTCATTGATGATTCTACATAGTACTACGATTTACTACGTCGTACTATGATAGTACTACGACTTACTACGTCGTACTATGATAGTACAATCATGTTCATTGATCATTCTACATAGTACTACGATTTACTACGTCGTACTATGATAGTACTACGACTTACTACGTCGTACTATGATAGTACAATCACTTTCATTGATCATTCTACATAATACTACGACTTACTACGTCGTACTATGATAGTACAATCATGTTCATTGATGATTCTACATAGTACTACGATTTACTACGTCGTACTATGATAGTACTACGACTTACTACGTCGTACTATGATAGTACAATCATGTTCATTGATCATTCTTCATAGTACTACGATAAACTACGTCGTACTATGATAGTACAATCACTTTCATTGATCATTCTACATAGTACTACGACTTACTACGTCGTACTATGATAGTACAATCATGTTCATTGATGATTCTACATAGTACTACGATTTACTACGTCGTACTATGATAGTACTACGACTTACTACGTCGTACTATGATAGTACAATCACTTTCATTGATCATTCTACATAGCACTACGACTTTCTACGTCGTACTATGATAGTACAATCATGTTCATTGTCATTTTACATAGTACTACGACTTACTACGTCGTACTATGATAGTACAATCATGTTCATTGATGATTCTACATAGTACTACGACTTACTACGGCATACTATGATAGTACAATCATGTTCATTGATGAGTCTACATAGTACTACGACTTACTACGCCGTACTATGATAGTACAATCACGTTCATTGATTATTCTATATAGTACTACGACTTACTACGTCGCACTATAATAGTACGATCATTTTCATTGATGATTCCTCATCGTACTACGAGAAGTTTTCTCACAAATTAAAAAAATCATAAAATTACAAGAATTTTCCACTTACTGCATAATTTTGGAGATTTTGCGTCTTCGCATCCCTTTTCATAAGATCATACAGCATCAACATTTCCACATAAGCCTTCGTAGGTGGTATTCTTTTCTTTCTCAAGAAAGGTGATGCATCTCGTTCCTGATCTGCATCTAGCTCTTCATAATCTTCATAGTTCTTTAAGAAATTTCCTATAGCATCAAATTCATTTTCTTCAAAATCGCTAAAAGCAAATTCATCATTTCGTGTTTCACTGATTTGTTCATGTAAATCTCGATGAATTTTTGGAAGATATTGAAGATAGTTATCGTCATATGTAGCATCTAAATTGGATGTCGAATGAAGAATAGTTCGGTCATCTTTATTTGGTGGCTTTTCAGGTGCGAAATATCCTGGTTTGTGAGGCTTTGTTGGGGGTGGAACTGAAAATAGAATAAACAATAAAAAATAACAATGAGTTTTATGTTATATATTACATTATTACCATTACCTGGTTTTGAGGTTGAAGTGGGCACTTGTCCAGCAGAAATAGGTCTTCGTGTAGTTGTTGGCCCTTCGAATTCGTATGGCAACATTTCAGACAAATGTTGCAGAATCTGCATAGCAGCTGGAAGATAATTGTCGGATAGCTGCAGGGCATCAGTGCGCTCTGCAAGTGCACTCAGGGGCATTGGGACCAGGAAACTGGCCTGGATCTAATGAAAACGAATGATAATATAAATTGTGATATAAATAGAATAAATGTCAGTTATACAGCTAATTATGTTATGAAATGTAGATTATGTTGTGAAATATAGTAATATTGGGCATTAAATCATATATGATTTGTAACTAACAATCATTTGTAAGAGCAATTTCTAAGTTACTTATATTGTGAAATATAACATGAAATTGTAAAATATAGGTAATAATGTTGCAAAATATCGCTCAAAATACAGTATAATTATATTGGACATTAAATATTTTTTGAAGCTGATCATAGGATAATTTTGTCAAAATTGGGGTTTAAAGCAAAAAAATTGAGAAATAAATGTACGGTAGTAAATACTAGTATCAAATTTATTAATATTTTTTGAATTATAAAAAAATATTTAATAAAATTGAAATTCGATTGTATATTTATAATATATTTAAATCTCGAATTCAGTGTTGTTATAAGAGTTGCTGTTAAAACGTAGGTTCCAATGATTGCTACATCAATATCAATAATTTAATTATTTATTTATACTTGTTTCGGCACTAGATATGAGTTATCATTCAGCCGGAGTAAATATTTAAAATCTAAAAATTTATTAAACAGCGAATCATTATTAATTACAGAACTTCTTTATAAAAAAACATGGTTACAACAAAAAATTGTATATGAACGACGTATCATTTAATTTTGCTTAAAAATGACTAAAAAATTTAGTGAAATTATAAAATTGAATTGCTTTCTATTTGGTACATAATATCAATATATTAAATACTGTTATCAATTGTATATGTGTTATTGATTCTAGCATTTGATTCGCAAAGTGTGTCGTATCGTGTCTGCTCATATATTCTATTCTTATTACAGTAGGTACTGACCTGGCCCAAAATGATCCATCCCAAAGTCGCCTCAAGCAACATCATCACTTATAACATATGTATCACTGATATATAAATTTGTTGGCAAAATAAATCACTGATTTATGCCAAATCGCAGTTTCTCCGACGGTTAGGTTACGTTATGTATTGCACTCACGTCCAGCACTGAACCGCTCCGAAACAACCGCGTTTGAAAAAAAAAATATTCTTTCACAATTCAAACAGTGATTCCGTTAAGAGGCAAGAATGATGATTATTTTGAGATCCGATATCTAAGTTTTTACTTCGCTTTGTCAATACGAAGACATACGAATCCGATCCAAAACTGGTTTGTCCAGCAGCTCTGGTTTGTAGGACTTTGTCATTGTATGGTAATTCGATTTATATACATTAATAAAACCATAATGTTCGTCGTCGATAGGCATACATGGCTAACAGAACAAGTTCGGAGGACAATGAACTGTCTTTAAGACACAAGATCATAAACGTTCTTAAGAGCGACATAAAAAGTGCGATGAAGACTATGTTGACAGGCACGTTTATTTTGAAACGACCAGCACCGGCAACATCGACTAGGCGAGGGATAAAAAAGCGAGGAATGCAATGAGCAAAAATTTATAAATCATTTCAATAAACCAGATATTGCAATAGTACGTTAAGTTTAAATAAAGTAGCAGAATTTAAAAAAAAAACACACAAATTCTATGGTAATTCAAAAAATGAAATTGATCATGAGGTCTTAGACTCGCATCTAAGAGGTACCAGGACGGAATTCCGACACAGTGTGCAAAAAAGTTGATATGAGTAAAAATTGTATTTGCATATTGAACAACATATTCACATATTAATAAAAATATTTCAGCATTGATATGTTGCAATACCATTGAATAGAATGAAAATGAAAAAAATGTAGTAAGTAATAAAGGCCAGAGTAATAGTAAAGGCCAGTAAAAATAAGTCTATTATTATTGTGTTCATAATATACGTACATCCAAATAATTAAAATCCGATACTAAATCAAGTTATGCAAATTCATGAACTCTAAATGTTTTTCTGAAATTAATCAACTTGAGGTCAATGACTAACTTCGACCAAAATATTATCATCATGTCATTCTACATTTTTTACCTTCCCGAAGACAAACTTCAAATCCGATACGGTAATTTAAGTTTTCTCAACGTTTCAAGTCATTCTGAATCGTTTGATACCGATATTGCAAAATTTAAGTGTTTGTAAGCTGAAATTTGACTTTTCGTCAAGGTTTACCCAAAAACTGCTGCACCGATTTAAAAAATTACAAAGCCTTTGATGAAACTCAACTTCGCTAAAGACTTTTTTTCATAATTAGCAGATATGTCTAAAAATTTTCCATCAGATCAACAATAGGTCTGAAATCTGAATATTTAATTTTTCTATAACAAATCGGAAAAACCAGTTTATATATTGCAATAGTACCTGCAGATTTTTACTAATGAGTTGATCTACATTAATGAGAAAAATGTCATACAAGGACAAATATAACAAGGTTTGATAAATGGATAATTTTGCAATTATAAGTTTCAAAATATTTTTCCTTTATATTTCCAATCAAAATGTATCATTTGTATTAGATTCATTCTAATAATAAAAATAGAGAGAGGTCAGCCGTTGGGTTGTTTCCTAAAAAGCGACGTTGAAGAAAATTTAACTGAACAGCTCGCAGAAGTTCTGAAAGATGCTCCAAAATAATAAAATTGCCTTAAGGAAACTGTGATCGCGGAAACTAGAAATTGAAATTATAACAAATTGTATTTCTGTCAAAAATAATCTTCTTATTCAGGTAGTTATTAAAAACGTAAAATTATACTATAAATATTTTTAGATTCAGATTTTTCTTGTACGAAATAATTTAAAAATTTTCAGAGATCTAATATGCCGTTGTTTTGATTAATCATATAAAAAGCATTGAGCAAATTAGAATAATATATTTTTTTATATTTTTTTACGTACTATAATGAATAAGTAGGTGATTTACCTTACACATTCGCATTGCTCAACAACCCGCATAATAACAATACCGATAACAACAATATTTATATAAAATGAAACCTAAAACACTAACTCATTTCCAAATGCAATTTCAGTCGCAAAGTGTCACATAAAATTCAATAATAAATTAATATTTAATTAATGGTATTTTATTACATGTGAATGGCATAAATCACAACTCGTAATGTTGCTACCAGGATCATGTTTGATTTGTGTGATTTTGGTGAGATTATTTATGATTTGTATTGAGAAATTGAGATTTGTTCGACATTTTTATAGCATGTTTATTGTCGATAAGCTTAGTTTATGAGATCAATTGAAAATACTGCAAACGATCCGAATTGTATAAGTATTGAAGTGAAATTTGTTATTTGAGAAATATTGTTCAGCCATATTGTGTTATTTAGTCATAGAATATTAATTTATTTTATTTATGTAAATATTTCAATTGTACCAAGAAAATGCGAAAAAGGTTTAGTATTTTCATAAAAAAATTAAATGTAAAATAAATGTATTGGTTTAGAAAATTACATTAATAATAAGTTGTGATATAATGGCTATGAACTAATTCCTTAAACAACATTGTTGGTCCTGGATGTTATACCAGTAAACACTATTTTTCTAATGGCTTTTAAATTTGTGAAATTGGTACATTTGGTTTTCAGAAAATGTTGACTAAAAGCGAAGATATACATACTTTTTCAATATGGGTGTCAAACAAATCAAAAATACTTGAAATCTTAAAATATAATATCAGCCTCTGGCGAAAACAAACTTCTTCAACAAGTTAATCAAACATATACACCAAAGCAATAAATGTATTGCTATATATTGCTAGTTTTAAATATAGTAATTATACTTGAAGCCTATTTTTTACTAGTTTTTTCCTACTCTTTTTAGATTTGGCAACCCTCAATTTCGGAGCAAGCTCTTCCAACAAACAACACCAGAAGTATAGCAACTACTGCCTACATTGCCTCAAACGCCATAAGAGAATGGTTCGATAACTTTTCACAAGGATTAAATAGAATCGGTTTCAATAATAATAATAGTAATGATGGTCCTTCGAATGTTGCAGAATTTAGTCACGATTATTTAACGGCCGACAGATTGGCCAGCTGGTTGAGAGATCATACGAAGTTCTTCTCATATTTAAGGGACAAAGCTAATTTGTTCCATTTGCAAAAAATTATGAAGATTTCTGGTGCAGCCTCAAATCTAATTCCATCGACGGCTAAGGTTATGCCTGATGTTCGAGTTAGTAATGGGACTAATTCGACTAGTGTTTAATAAAAATATTTAACAATATAATAATATATTTAATTTCGTTTGCAATAGTCGTAAAAAATTGCTTTACCAACAACTCTTTTTAAAAAATAAATAAACATTAAACTATTAAATATTGTTGTAAAGGAGATTTCTGATATTTTACCTAATTTAAGTTGATTTTTTAATTTTATTAATTTATGATAAATATTATTTAACTTCATTTCTGCAGCACCTCAATGTACAAAACAAATAATAGTATTTTACGAAGTTGTCGCTTCGAATAGAGCGCTAAAATTACACAAAATATATAACATTGTAAAAATGAAGTCATTTTTAAATTTGATCTATTTAAGTGAAATTAATATTATTTTATAATATGACAATTTCTTAATTATATCACAAAAATACAAATCCAAACATACTTACAAATATACAATTAACATTTATCACCATAACGCTTTAATAACATGTAACTTACATATAACTTTTTATATGAATTATGTAAAATGAAACGTTCTTCTTTTAAAAATATTCGGTTAATATTGTATTTTTACTTTATTCTAATTAATTGCAATATGTTTCAACTTATAAGTTGCAAAAGAAAAATATCTCAAACGCAATAAAACTGGAGTTTTTTTTTCATATATACTGCAACTACACGAACCTTAACGTTATGTTTAAAGTTATAAGTTTATGGTATTATATAAAACATTTCACATCTACAATCATCTAATTCTTGTAAATAATTTACTTTATAACTATTTATACAAATAATTTATGAACTAGGTCAAAATAAAAACCAATACAAAAGTTTTATAATTCAAAGTTTCACTCACTGTATAATAAATGGAAAAATAAAGGTCGTACGGAAATGTAGAATTGTAAATGTAGAATCTTTTTTAAATAGTTTTTTATTTTTATATTAAAATCACTATATTTTCTATAAATAATAAGTGGCTTAAATCGGCGCGTATCCAAATTACAAGCTTTATTCTAAACCAGATTTATTTTTATTTTATTAAGTATAATAACTATTTGTCCGTTATTATTATATTAACACGTAGTAGATAGATATATCGAATACAGGATTACTTGATAAATAATTCAATTTATGATTATATAATAATAATAATTCGTAGAAAGATATTTCTTATTTCAAATGTAACAATTTACATTGCTGTGCTTTCTTTGCCTTCAATTTGTGTGTTTTCCTCTTGTAGAGTATATATGCCAGACAAACTTATGGCTGGTACGTCACCTAACATTTCGGGAAGCTGGTGCATGTATCGATCAGTTTCTGTATCGAAAAAGCCCCGTGGTCAAGATTTTGCCTCATGTTTCAATCTGTGAACAATTTCTTCGTGCATAACATTGAAGCACATAGCAGTCAGAGCCATTCCGGCTAAAATATAGCCGGAACAAAACCACGTGGTGAACGTTGATTCATCTTGAATCATATCGCCAAAACCAACGGTGCTCAATGACATGAAGCAAAAATATAATCCGTCAATGAATGACCAGCCTTCGAGTTTGAGAAGCGAGAGAGCGCCTAGGCATATGTAGCCACTCATGGCTCCCAGGCAGAGCAATACTGGTGCGAGCAGGCTCAGGCCGCTCAGCTCGGGCGGCGAGGTGACGCTGTGGTCTTGCAAATAGAATGGTTCTTGTAATCCTAAACGCTCTTTACGCATTCTGCGCTCCTTGTCGGCCATTTGGCGCTCATCGTAACAGCAATATCCACAATT